CGCAGTGATGACTGGACATTGGGGTGACAGGCACAACGTGGGCCTTGGGCCCCGGACCAGGGAGGGCAGGCCGGAGTCTCTAGCCGTCACCACGTGGCCCTCCGCCGGCCGCCCCCCACTCTGCGCCGCGTCGTGCAGTCGGGTCGGTGAGGCATGGCTGCACCTCACCACCCTGCTGCTGTTCTTGCACGTGCATTCTCCCCTCTTCTGGATCTCTCAAAGAATCGGCAGCATGAAGCCACAGTAGGTTTTGTTTGCATGGATGGAGATTTTGACACGTTGATGAAAACTGATTCTGCGCGAGCTCCCGCACAGAAGCTCTCCCACCCGGCCCTCCCACCCTGCTCCCCCCGTTCATTCGCTTGTAGCGTCTGTGGGGCCGCGGAGCGCGGTTTGGAAGGAAAACCAAGGCGACCTCCCTTCCCTCGTCCCCGACCCCTTTGGGGTGCAGGGTTGCGCGTATTAACCACCCAGCGCGGCTTATGAAAATGCGTCAGAGAAAAACTATTTGTTCGCCTCCTGGGTGCACTTCAGTTCCCAATATTGATGACGTCTTCCCGTGAACCACGAGAAGGAAAACGTAGCAGTGACCCTAAACGGAATTAAAAGTGCCCTCTCGTCCCAGCACGTCCGTGTGGATGGAAACGTGGACGGGTAACGGCGTGGCAAAGGCCTTCCCTTCCGCCCGCAGGGCTCGCCCGGCTGGAGAGCGCGGTTGCTCTTGGCGCTGGAGCCCGACAGCCCCTGCGTCCCCCGACCAGGCGGGCTTTGTGCTGCTCTGTGCGTTGGTTTCCGTTCTCCTGACGAGTTAATTGTCGCCTCCTCTGAAGTGTTCGGTGGCTCCAAACGCAGACACTTCCGAAAGTAGATACGAACATGCATGTCTACGGGCAGGGACAAAGAGCAAATGTGCTTTGTATTTCTCTAAATGCACAGACTTACATAAAACGTCAAAGAGTAAACTTTTAGTTCCAAACTATATGAGTTCTGGTTTGCCGTACACCTTCATTAGACCCAGAGACATTTCTTCCTAAAGTAATAAATGCATTGTAAAAGTGCAATCTGGATGCCATGTGGGTTAGGAATGAGGATTTGAGATGCATGAAAATGACTGTTAGTTGGATGAGTAGGTTCTATTTTTTCAGGCAGACGCTCCAACATTCATTTCATAGTGACATCCCCATTGCTAGAGCCACCTCTAGTTTAAGAAAACTAACTCTTCTAACCTTTTCCTACGTGCATGGACAAACCAGTCCCTCGCCCTTGTCCGCACGGAGCCACCTGCGTGTGGGACGGGCCGTGCAGACTGCTGGGAACCGGGTCCCCAAAACCAGGGCTGCTTAGAGCCCCAGTCCAGCGAGGTGCCACGTCTCAGGACAGACGGGAACGATCTGGACCAGGTCCCTTTTGAGAGAATCAAATAAAATGAAAAATTCACAGAAGAAGGACCTGCTTCTGCACAGCCTGCTGGAACCAGGCAGGCCCCGGGCAGGGTCGTGCTCGGGGGGCGCCACAGTCCACGGTCTCCGTGCGGATTCCTCGGGCCACGCCCGGCTCTCCAGGCCACTTCGGCCAGTGGACGTCTACTTGTCCAGGGGCGGCCAGCCCGTTCCCACAGCAGTGCCCGGCACAGGAGGCCCCAGGACAGCGGACGGGGGAGAAAGCAACCCAGGGACAGAACGAACACCCACCTAGAGCCCCGAGCCCGCCTCGCCTGCTTTCCGGACCCGGGGGAGGCCCCGAATCGCAGCACTGGCACTGTGGGAGGGTCCCACACTCCCGCACCCTCAGGCGAGCGCCTCGGGGGTGTGGGGACGCCCACCCGTGTGAGGAAAAGGAGCTGAGAGACAGCACCTGCCCCCAGCGAGCACTCGTCTAGTTCACGACCGGGTGCCGCTCAGCCCGTCCACGAGTGTGTGCACATGTGTGTGCGCGTCAGCCTAGAGACAGTTGTGCAACAAAGTGGGTGTGTCTCTATCGACGGAGACCGGGAGCCTCCGCTCCGGACCCCTCACCAAGAGCACATGGCCCTCTGACCCGCCGCCTGCTTCCGAGAAAGCGAGAGCAGGAAGGATCTCGTGAGCTGTGAGGACCCCACGACACAGGAGGCACCTCAGATTTGACTTTCACAAACCTTCACGACCCGGCTCTGCAGTGAGCAAGGGCTGTGCGGCAGGCATCGCTCCCGTGGGAAAATGGGTCCCGTGAGGCCAAGGAACTCGTTCTGGGCCACTGAGCGCATCAAGGCCGCTGCCAGGCTGGGTGCCAGCCATTGCGTCCCCATCCCCAGCGCCCCGTGCCCTCCCAGGCCACCCTCCTGCAGGTGGAGTTGACTTACGCACCGTTCAACCGTCGCCTCCGACAGAGGGAGCAGAGGAGCCCGGCGTGTTGGATCTGACGCACCGGCCCGGGCTGTGGGCGTGGACCCGAGTGAAATCCAGGGGCCACCCCTCACCTGGAGGCGGCGGTTCATCCGCCGCAGGGAAGCACCGCCCACCGCCGCCGCTGGGCACGTCCGCACTCGCCTCCACCACGGGCCGTTTCAGCCCCCCCAGGTGGGAGCGGGTGTGAAGCCTCACACTCACTGGTTTCCCTCTCTGCCAAGACGCCCCAGGCCGCCAGCTGGCAGCCCCTGGAGTGAGGTTCGCAGGCACGCTCGGAGCTCCGGCTCAGAGCCCAAGATGCTGCCGCCGTCGCCCCGGGCTGGTTTGGGCGGCTTCCTCCGGCTCCAGGCCCCCCGTGCGCGGCCCTCGGGGACAGAGGGAGGGCCGCGGGGCCGCCTCCGACGGGACCCTGGGCCCCGAGTTTGGGTTCCCGGTCCGGGAAGAGAGGACCAGCATTGCTCGTGCGAGCAGATGGCCACGCCAGTGTGTTTACACGTCTCACACACGCACAAATACGGCATTTTTACCTTTCACTTGGGTCAGGAAGAAGCAGAAGAAACGTTTGTTAGCTGTGCCGGCTTCGCCGCCGCAGCCCTCGAGATCCTGGGTTTTCTGTCCGGCGAGTCACAGGGTGCCGGATTCGCCCCCTCGCACCGGGTCCTCGTCCCGGCTGGACACGTTCTGTGCAGTTGGGGGTCCTGCCTCCCAGCTATTAAAGGTGAGAGACAGGCGGGGAAGCCGTGAGGGCGCGGCCGCCCGGGGAAGACGGGAAACCGCGGCCTCCCAGCGCTCTGCGGACGGTGCACGCGGGGAACCAGGCCGCCAGCCACGGGCCGGCACTCCAGGCCCCCCCCAACCCCCCCCGGAGGGCACCGCTGGAGCCCAGTCAGGGGTAACGTGGCAATCGTCTCGGAGAAGGAACAGACACCCAGGTCACTTCCAAGCAAGAAGCCTTGGGACCCAGAAACCTTCAGGACAGAAAAACCGGTGAACGTCGGGGAGGGACGGAACAGTCCTCTCCCCTGGTGTGGCCAGTGCCCACACACCACATCACGGTCCTGGGGACCTCCGACCGCTTCTGCGAGCTGGGAGCGTGGGGGCGGTCCAGTCTGCCCGTTCTGCCGGGCTCTCCCACGCCGCGGCCACCCAAAGGCTCCACGCGGCTCGCACGTGGCTGCCCAGCACGCCGGCCCTGGCCGGCAGGCTCTGCTCCGCTGCAGGAGGACGGGGCGCTGTCCTCACCATAGGGCACCTCGCCGCTGCAGACGGAGCAGCCTCCAGACGTTCCTCTTTCGGAAAGAAGAGTGCCCGAGGATTTGGGGACACAGGCAAGTCACGTGACTCCTGGACAGTCATCAACGGCACTTGGTTCAGATGCACCGAGTTTGTGACAAGGAAAGCAAGAAGCAGGAGTGTCAGGCGGACAGACAGCCTGGCTACTGAGACAGACCTGGGTCAGAAGGGCCCAGAGTGGGGTCACCGGAGCGGCTGCCGTGGGCGAGGCGCTGCAGACGGAGGAGAGGGGCTGGGAAGGGAAGGAGCGGGGGTGCGAGAGCTGCTGGAGAGGAGACCCAGGGCGTCTGGAAAGGAAACTGGGAGGCAGAGAAGGGCCTGTAATCGCACATTTCACGTAAGACCCAGGGTCGATGTTATGAGTGCACCTCGGCAGTGACCTTGCTGCGGTCCCGGCTGAAGAAGCGAGTAGAGGCCGGAGCAGCTCCTTCTGTCCGGTGGGTTTTCGGGGTCCTCTCTCTGCAGCCGAGACGCAGAGGGACAGGTAGCAGGAGGTGGCCCGGGAGGCTGCCCACAGCTGTGGACACCGCACCTGAGATGCCGCCAGCACGGCGCCATCCGCACTGGGGACGGTCGTGCAGGGTGCGAGGGCTGTGGCGGACGCGCTGGGGACGTGTGTCCGGGTTGCCCAGAGGCAGCGGGCCTGTGACAAAGTCAAAGAGCAAAGCGATGTGTGCGACGGTTCAAGTGGAACATGGGTTTGAAAAAGAAACTTCAGCACACAAGACGGTGTGGTTGTGTAGGACACACATGCCCAGCCGCCTGAGGCGAGGCCGTGGCCCCACTGTCCGCCCACGCAGCGCAGACCGGGGTCCAACAGGCAGCGGGGGGCCGGCCGGGCATCCACCTCCTGTCCGAGACCTCAGGGCTTTGCAGGGAAGCAAACCGCCCGCGGGCTCAACTCCAAGGTAAAACCTTCTGCTGAAATTTCCTCCAGGCAGGCCAAAGGTTGTCAGACAAAAAGTAAATAAATAAGAAACAACTTTTCCCAAACAAAACTCCGGTACCACTGTGAACGGACTCCGTGGGCTTCCGTTCCGGAGACCAGGGCCCGCAGCCGGCGGGGCGGCCAGCAGGGCGGGAAATGCCGGCACCTTGCAAAGCCCCCCCATATCCACGGCCCAGTCGGCCCTACCTGGGACACTTGTAGTTTGGCTTCTCGGCCGCTAAAAGAACACTTTATTTTTTATTTTTTTTAAATGTTATGAGGTAACATAGTTGTTTTTTTTAAGATTTTATTTATTTATTTTTAGAGAGGGCAGGGAGGGAGAGAGAGAGAGAGAGGGAGAAACATCAATGTGCAGTTGCTGGGGGTCATGGCCTGCAACCCAGGCATGTGCCCTGACTGGGAATCGAACCTGCGACACTTTGGTTCGCAGCCCGCACTCAATCCACTGAGCTACGCCAGCCAAGGGCTAGAACACTTTATTTTATACATTTCTCCAGGCAAAGGGGTTCTGAGTATTTCACCTATGGGTCTCGGTTCCGCCTGGGTCTTTAAGCGGCGGGGGAGCCGCAGCCAGGGCCTCGAAAGAAGCCGCCCCCTTCCCACAAAGTGGCCTTGTGGTGTCCGTCCGTCTGGGTTCCGCGCCGCTCCAATCGCTGCATTGAAAACCTCATAAAGCGGCGGAGAATGGACCTGGTGACCCCGCGGCACAGTTCTGCAAAGCACAAGAAAAGAATCGAGGGCATTCAAAAGTGAGTCCACACTTTATGGGTTTTCTCCCCACACCCCAGACACCAGCATTGTCCGGGAGCCGGCTCCTAAAGGAGCCGGGCATTGACATGCAAATCAGGCCGCGCGGTCCCAGGGGCCTCGGGGCCCTGGGGCCCGCACTGTCCCACGAATCGTCTCTGAATCCGAGCCGTTCATTCAGGACCGTAACTCTGTGTTTCACCCCGTGAACAGGCTCTGTTTGCTCCCGGAGTTCGCACGCAGCGGGCGGCGAGGTCGGCCGGAACACAGGCCGCGTGCTGGGGTGCGCCTCTGAGCGGGGGTGCGTGTGTGTGTGAACAGACTGGGCACTCACTGCCCGGGCCCCGCATTTTCCTGTAAACGTAGCACAGCCCAGACGGCCAGGGTTTTTTGAAGTATTATTTTAAGGTGGGTTTTGTGTGGAAGTAATGTACTTGCCTTTTAAAAATAGAAACATAGAAACAGTTTCAGCACACACTGTTTGCAAAGTCGTAAAAGCCACGCTGTTGCCTTTTAATGGGCCGTGATAGTGCGGGGAAGAAAAAGGGTCCTGGACACGTCCCAGGAGGAGACGGAGCGGGGGTCGACGTCTTCCAGGCCCCTCCCCCCGCCCCCAGGTGGAGTTTATAAAGCATCGACTCCCCAAACAATGATAATTAACTTTTAAGATAGTCTGAACAAGCATCCCAGCCACCAGAGTGGTGTTTAGCCCACATTTCTGGTGTGATTTCCAGCCCCCTCCCCCAGGCAGTCCCTCACTGCGCCCCCCACCACCCAGGTACCTGCTCCAGGGAGCACACCCTGAATTCTCACCGTTCCACCCTCCACCAGGGACTCGCGGACAAGGGGCAGCTCCGGACACTCCTCCTCCTCCTCCTGGGAGCCCAGGCCCGGGCCCACGGACACGGGTCTGTTTTCACAACAAATCGGAGCTGCAGAAAAGGAACAGAAAACGCTAAGACGCGGAAGGAGACACCGCAAAGCACGTTGCCGGCACGGCTGCGCCCCACAAGTCCCGGGATCGGATAGGGGGTGGGGGGGGTGGGGGCTGCCGCACCACCACCACCACCAGCCCGGGCTCCTGCTGGGAAGGGGTGCGGGGCCTTCCCGGGGCTGCCCGCCCTACTGGGGACTCGATTCCCCGCTGAGGTGGGGGGCCTGCCCTCTGGCCTCACTCCCGGGTCTCCTTCCCCGCCTCTTCCATAGCGCGGGACCGGGGCGCGGCGGCGGTGGCTGGGGACCGGCCGATGGGCGTGGAGGAGGACTGGTCTGCTGGGAGCTGCCGGGGACTGCGGACGGAGGACCCCTGAGGACACCACGTGCTGCCCCTCCCTGCGGACACCACTGTTAAATCCGGGAACTTACGGATCCACAGACTTCTGCCACCTCCACTCTTGTGTTGCTTAGATGCTAACCCTGAACAATTAGTCCCTCAAAGTCATGATGGAATTTTAAAATCTCCCTGAACAGCTTCTCGGCATTTCTTAAATCCCTTAGGTAATGCTGCCGTATTAAAGGTGAATTTATGGGCAAATCAATAATGTTTACATGCCTCCGCCAAACCACCCATTTGATCTAATTGAATGAAGTGCAAATACTTATGTCAATGCAGTACTATCACACTACTCGTAAGATATCAGGAAATCCTATGTCCTCTTCTGTGACTTGTTCATTTTAAGCAAGCTGATAAAATCCTTTGAGTCTGAAAAATCGAGTGAAAGAAATAACGCTATCGTAGTTAAAAGTTATAAATACTAACATCTAAGACAGTCTCGTTTTACATAAAAAGGCGGTAAAGGTATCTTTAAAAATGGAAGTGACATTTCAGGACATGGTGAGTGAATGGGGGTTCGTCTCAGAGGCGAAAAGAGGAGGGGACCCGTCCCTCCGTCCCCTGGGACAGGAGATGCAGAAATCCTCGGGAAAGAGGGCGCTGGGGTTACGCGTCAGGACTTCAGAGCCAAGAGAATCTCGAACGGCATTCATTTTGTCAAGTTAAATTCTGGAAGCATTGCCCTCACTTTTGGGAATTTCCAGCAGTTCCTAACGTGCGTCTCCCATCCTGGAAGATGGTTATTGAGCTGAGCATCACACAGGCGAGGGCCGGCGTGGGGAAGGGAGGGAAGGAGCGGTCTTTCTTTATTCCTCTCGGTGATTATTTCTATGAAATTCTCAGGGAGGTACAGCCCAAAAGCACCCTGGAACACACACTGACCTTGGAGGACCGTCATGTGTCAAAGTAAGGCCCCAGTTTGTGCTTCTTTCTATGATCTTGACTTCTCTACTTCTCTTGACTTCGGTAATTGCAGGGCAGAACAATATGAAAATATGGAGACACGGGAAAATCTGAAAACTTTTTAAAAATATAAACACTTCTTAAACTATTTTATTTTGTATTTAAACATATAGGCCTAAATAACTGCGATATTCTTTTGGATTTTTATGACATCTGCTTAGTTACAATCGTGTGCATCATCTACAATTTTTTTTTTTTTTCTCAGACAGGGTTTTCTTTAAGGCGCTACTGCCATCTGCTGGAGGAAGATAAAGTTGAAGCCCCGTAACGACTTTCCTGTGTGACGAGCCCAACCAAGGATCGCCTTGCTCCTTAAAATTTACCCTTGGTAAAAACACTCATGATTCTTCCAATGTACCCATAGACATGGCTTCAGCTTAGTGTTTCAAATGGGCACATCGGGAAATACAGTGAAGTCCTTGGAATAATTGCTCTCACAAACACAGCTTTGAAGTGCGTTCACTACTCAACAGAGCCTGTGCAGAGAATTCTGGGAAGGCCAGACGAAACCCGAGGGCCAGCCCCCAATGTGCTGGGAGCCTCATGGGTCGATAGGTCGGAACAAGTAATTGTGGTGAAATTAAAGTGCTGCAGTAGAAGGATAGCCCCATCATTCAAACACGTGGAATGGATGTAATGATGAACTTACCCAAAGAATAACAGAACGTATTTGTGCTGAGATTTTTTATTTTTTAGAGAAAGGGGAAAGGAGGAAGAAACAGAGAGAAACAATGAATGGGGACTGGTTGCCTCTCCCCTGACACCATCCCGTCCCATCCCGTCCCCCCCAACTGGGAACCTGGCCCGCAACCCAGGCACGTGCCCTGACTGGGAATCGAACCAGCGACTTTTCCGTTTGCAGGCCAGCACTCAGTCCGCCGAGCCACACCAGCCAGGGCTGCTCTGAGGTTCCAGACAGCTGCCTGCATTTGCAGCTGAGCAAACCGATACCGCGATGCTAACGTCTCATTCGAGCCTATTGCTCACCCGTGCCAGGGCTGAACCCAGGGCCCGGGCGGACCAACGCTCTTCTCGCGATTTCTCCTTTCTCTGCCGTGATGTCGTGCTGAAGATTTTACGGGAGACAGAGTGATGGTGGAAATATTGATAAGAATGAAGGCATGTGACATCATGCTATTTTACATCACAGATGACGTGCACCGAGAGATCCACTTTATTGATGTATGTTCTCTTTATTTACAAACTGAGAAACAAAGAGCACGTCAAACCTTCTCACCATAAACCGAAGGCAGACACTCCGGGTCTTCCGAAGCCCTCGCCGTCGCAGAAGCGTCCGGCTCACCGAGACTCCGGGACCCAGAGGCCCCCACGCTGGAGCCCCGGAGATGGTGAAGCCGTGTGGCCGAGGGCCCCCGCCACGCCCGTCTCACCGGCTGTGCGGCCGTGGGAAACTTACCCACTGCTCTGATGCCCATCAAGGGAGTGGTAACAGTGTCAAGTGAGACAATAAATATGCAATAACTGACACAGGGAGCCCTTGGTAAACCCTGTCCATTAATATTATTGAATGGTCTTCTTCCTCCGAGGTAACAATCAGGAGAGAAAAGCAGTTGTCCTCACCAGACGTGTTCTAACATGCAGTCATGAGATACACCGCAGTGCGGTGCCAAAGTTACCAGTATCTGGAGGACTTCCAAGTGAATGAAAACTCATCTGAATTCTCACTGCCTTGGTGCAAATTAAACCTCAGGCTCAAAAAATATAAGAGTATAGGCAAGCTTTTATAAAACAGAAATAAAAGGCTAGAGCAATACCCTTAAAAATCCTTTAGGTCCTAAATCAAGGTCCAATCCAGGAGACTAAACACGTCGAAACTGGAAAACCCCTCGATTGTTTAAGTGCTGCGTCAGCCAGTTTCACTGCGAAAGGAACAGCCCCAAATCCCAGTGGCTCCCTCCGCGCAGTTCCTTCCTGCTCGTTTCTGCTGTCAGGGGCTGCGGGCCCGTGCGTCTCCCACCCCGCACCCGGGCAAGGAGGCAGCCCGGGTGGCCGCATCCTCTTCCCCCGGACAAGGAGCTGCACGGCCAGGGCCAAAAAACGGGAAGGGACGTCTGTGGCCCCCACAGGAGCGGGCAGGGCTCAGGGCTAGGGCGGTGACCACGGCCCCTCCCGGGCAAGGAGCAGGGAGCGAGCGGCTGGGTGGACGATCCGCCTGGGCTCACCTTCCCGGTGGCGGGTGCTCGCTCTCCACTCCGCGCACAGGACTCGCTGCCACCCACAGGGGAGGCATCCTAAACGCTGCAGCCAGCCACCTCATCAGCCTGTCAGTCCGAGAGCCGCACCGAACCCCAGCGGCTCCTCTCCATCTGGACACACGGGAATGGGCGGACGAGGTGTGCGCCCCACACGCGCTGGGCGTGCGACAGTCGGGGGAGGCCAGGAGCACACAGACGCTCCCTCCGGAGACGGAGGGGGTGGCGCAGGACTCGCAGGCTCCCTGGTCCGCGGGTGCTCCAGGGCCGCACTGCGCAGGACGCGGGCCCTGGGGACCGACGCGGCTGCAGCTTCGAGTCTGAGATCGGGACCCGGCCCCCCAACTCGGCCCCTCAGACAGCGCCCGGCTGCAAACCCGCCTTCCACCTCCGTCACCCCGACCGCGCTGCAGAGGAAAGGGTGGCCCCAGCCTCCTCGGGGCTGAGCAGCTCCTGTGGCCTCATTCCCGCACATGCGCTCTGCTCTGTCCCGGGGGCCGGACACGAGGCTCTCCCCCGCCCCCACCCCAGCACCGTCTCCGCTGCCCACCGCCCTCCCTCGTGCCCGGGTGTCCGCCCACGCCCGGCCAAGGGGAGGTGCCGGGACCCTTGGGTCCCCTCGTCACCGCCGATGTCGACTTCCACGGGTGCAGGCCCTTCCTTCCCATAGCGCCGACCGGGGCTGCAGTTCTTAATCACCCCTAACTGGTTAACGACTGGTTATCTCTCCAACGGGGACTTGAGCTTCGTGAGGGTGGGGGCCACCACGGGGTCCTCCCCAGCTGCATACGCGACGGCTGTTCCATGGATCCCACGCCGTGTTTGCCGTACAAGTTTACTGGTGCGCGGCGATGGGACCGAATGGACAAGTGGGAGTGGGGGGGCTCTCCTCACAGAATTCTTCTCTCGGTGGGGGGGGGGGGGAGCGGCAGCTTTCCACGCCGTCTCCTGGAGGGAAAGGAGGGCAGGAATGCCCAGCGCGGTCCCCCCTCCGGCCCGTCGGCCCACGGCCGGGGCCCCTCCCTGCCGGCCGATCCCTCGACACCCCTCCACGCTTCCCGAGTCGTCCGCACGGCACGGCTACCCACGGCCACATCGGTCCTTACACGTCCTGGTAGTCGCAGACTCTCAAGCTGCGTGTGTGTGTGTGCGTGTGTGCACGTGCGTGTGTGTGCCCTGCCTAGCTCAGGACAGGATTATGTGAGAGAAAGAAAGAAAACACGATGGTGAGTGTAGTTTCCTGCCTAGACCTGCAACCTGGGAGGTGTGGAGGAGGGTGCCACTCCCCGGTGACCTCCCGCGTGACGGGGTCATGCGGGGGGCTGTGCCGGGGCAGGCAGCACAGAGCGTCTGGCGGAGCATGCGCTCGCCCGGTTCTGAACGGTTCCCAACGTGGCCAGGGCGCGGTGCGAGAGCCGCGGCAGCGTGCACCCGAGACCGCCAGCGTCCGCGGTGCGCCCAGACGCAGCGCCGGGACGCCTTCCCGTGGCGCGCTCACACACGCGTGCCCTGACTGCTCACTCACACGGCGCTTCCGCGCGACGCCTCACACACACCCAGTGCTCCCCTTCCCCTAAACCCCCCCAGCAGGCTTTTCCCAGAGAGTGCGTTTTAAAATTAGCTTTTTACAGTACGAATTCTATACAGTAACAGTCGCCAATTTTAAATGTACAGTCCGATGACTTACAGTGCAATTTCGACATAGTTTTCCTTCAGACTAGATGTGTAAGTTTTATGAAAAACATTGCACGATACAAAATGGCCTTATGTTCTAAATTATTCCAGCATGGACTTACGTGGAGACGTTTTTGTTCCGTCTTACCCTGGAATATAAAGGTTACGTTTTCCCATGTCAAAAACTCCTTTTTAAGTGGCATTCCAAAAGCATGTAGGTCCTTCCCTACTGAGAGTTACACCTCAGAAAAGCAGTCGAAAGATTAGATACATAGAGTTTTAAAAAATTAAACACAAAGTGAACATTCTGTATTTAACGCCTAAGCCATGGATGCGAGATTATTCCCCATTCCTCAGAAATTATGACTTTTTATGTCGCCTCGAGGAGAAGCAGGGGGTCTTCTAACCGCAGCCCCCAGGACACTGCATCCGACTCATCGCACCAGACCCTCCCCCGCTGGACCCCCGGCCCCGGCGCCCAGCAGACCCCCACGCACACCGGGACTCGGCAGGACCCCCCTCGGGCCGAGTGCGGAGGGACACAGCCCCCCGTCCTGCCCCCCACGGGTTCGCAGAGTCACTGCATGGGGTCCTTCTCTCTCAACCTCCTTTAATTCTCCCAAACTTCTCGTGTTTTCTGACGGACATGAGAAACTTAAAAATAGTGCAACTGGGTTTGGACACTGAAACATTTGCACCGAGACTTCTTTGACCTCTCCCTGGAGAACGGCACTGTCATCCTAGCGCCAGGCGACATTTTGATCCAATTCAGTGGATTTTCTGTGCAGTCTCAGCAGACCATCCTCCTGAAGGCTCCGCCCGTGAGCCCCCGGGGGCTGACCTGGGCCTTTGGGGCAGACTGTGCCGGCGGCCGCCTGCCTCCAGGAGCCGGGGACAGAGGCGATGGGAGAGCCCTCACCTCCTCCACTTCTTTAAACAGGTTTGCATGTTTTAACGTTGTCTCCAGGAGCAAATGGGACTTCTGTAACGTCAAACACGGTGAGCGTGTAAGATACAAGGGAAAGTCGGTCACGAACAGTTTCAGGTAAAACCGTTGCTGAGAGAGAAAGGCCGGCCTCCGGTAAGAAAGGCATGGAGCGGGAGCAGGGTGAGCCAAGGGGCTGCTCTGTGGTCATGGACAGCTGGGAGTCTCATATTTTCACAGAATTACTTTAACACTGCTCCCACTGGAGTTTCCCGAGCGGTCACTTCCTCGTGACCCCTCCCCGCCCCGAGGGGCCGTGGCCCACCCACACGGCGCCGGGAAGCGGCTGGCTTGGCCCGGTTCCCAGCCGGCCAAGCAGCTGCCCACCTGCAGGTGCCACCCAGGCGGCTGGGAGCGTGGGCTCAGGGGTCAGCCCCCAGGCCTCCCTGGACTCCTTCTGGAGGTCCGCCTGTCCCTGTTGTCTGTGCTGCCCTCACAGGTGTCCCCGCCCGCTGCAGGGGCGCAGGTGGGAGGGGCTGGGGCAAGCCCGAGCCATCACCCATCGGGTCGGTCACCCAAACCGTCGTGAAGACCCCCGTGTGGGGGCCGGTCCCCGGACAGAGACTGGGAGGGCGGCCAGCCTGCCCAGCCCCGGGGCGCAGGGCCGGGGCTGGCGTGCGGCAGGAGGAAGTCCTCAGGATCGGGGACGAAGAGGAACGGACAGGGGACGCCCACAGAAGCGTCCTTTACACTCGCAGGACGAGCCGAGGGAAACGCCAGACTCCAACCCAGCAGCCCCAAGTGGGGGACGGTTGAGCAAGACGGCCCACCACACAGACATCAGCGCTGTCAGCCCTCGGGTTGGCAGGGAACACGCAGCAAAGCGGGAACCGCACGGGACGGCCGCAGGGCTGAGAGCGGGCCGGCCGTTGAGCTGAGGACTGGCCCGGCTGCACACTCTGCGCGTTTCAACTCGGCGTCGGACGTGCCGGGCCCACAGCGAGCCGAGCCGAGGCCAAGGCCTGCCAGAACCTCTCGGGGCGGCGCCCAGGACCTTTCTGCCGGTTTCGGGCCATGCGGGAAGGAAGGTGGGGCAGGAAGGACCCACGGGCTCGGGACGAGAGCACTTTGCTAACACACAATAGGGCGTATTCTTCTCCAGCAAGGGAAATGGTCTTTGAGTACAACAAATGCAACAGACAATGAAGATACGGGGGTTCCCACCCAGAATGTGGACGCAGGCTCGTTGGTGAGCGAGAGCAGGGGCGACAGGTGTGTTCGGTGGGCCACCAGCCCTGCACCACCTGGCGCAGCCGCACCTGGCAGTGTCCCAGGTGCACCGTGACAGGCACACGGATATGGGGATGGAGACACAGCCAGCAGGATGGAGAAAGGGGGTCACCAGGGGCCGGGCGGGGGGATCAAGGAGATGTGGTTAAAGGGCTCAAACTCCGACCTATGAAATCACCAGGTTCTGGAGAGCAAAGGCACAGCATGGTGATTGTGGCTAACAACGCCGCATCAAATACTTTAGAGATGCTGAGAGTAGACCTTCGCTGGTCTCGCCGCGCAGAGAAGCGGTAACTCTGCAACAGGGTGGAGGTGCCGGCTGACTCTACAGTGGTCATCATCTTGCACTATGTAAGCATATTAAGTCAACACATTTTATACCTTAAGCTCATACCATGTTATATGCCAATTATATCTCAGTAGAGCTGAAAAAAATTTAAATAAGCAGATATTTTAAAAGGATCCAGATACGCCGTCATAGTTCAGTGGGTTCTGAGTGTGGTCCACTCCCGAGAGCTGCCGCCTCTTACCTGCTTTTGGCCGCGTGCCAAAGACCCATGAACAAATCGAGCAGTTTCCCCCGTGATGTTGCCACCTCTTAACACAATTCCGGAGCTTCAGTTTCCAGGATTCTCTACGGAATAACAGGGAGGTGTGATGTAGAAGTATTTCTATCAGAAATAGTAAAAAAAAAAAAAAGTAATCAGGTTTTGCATTGACATGGCCATGCTTCGAGTGTCTGGGAAGTTTTCTGACATAGAACAAATCTCTCTCGGACAGTTCTGGGAAAATGAGGTGTTGCCGTGTTAGTTTAGAAATGTTAAATCGCACATTCCTTGTAGACAGTGAGGAGGCTGAGAGGCCATTCTGGTTTCCTCTTCAGACAGGGGGATCAAAGAGATTTAAAAAAAAAAAAAAATAACCGTCAAGCACAGCGATGGCAAACGCTGGAAATATTGCGTGTTGGGAGCCACTTACAAGGCCTATCGCCTTTCAGGAGAGATAGCCCGTCGGTGCCGCAGTCTCAAACATAAACTTGCAGAGTGCTAAGCTCTCTTCCGGACGGAGCTTCAAAGCCCCAGAGACCACTGTCTGCAGTAAACAAGACAAAGTGGTTTACTTCTGGCCCACGGTCAGCCTTTGAAGTGCGCTTTTAAAGAACATATTTGGAAGTCGTTCTCAGAAAGAATGTTATTTATGAGAATGAAAGGAAATGCTACATCCTTGTACATTTTGTGTTCCAGTCTCTCTGACAAACGCCTTAATGGCTCCTGTGATAGGAGGACATGATTCATGTTACTACTCCTTGAGAAAGCACAGCAACAACAGAAATGTCTTTAAAGTGAGCGACCCCAAAATTCCACGATCCCGCAACCAGTGTCCACCTCGGGCTCGTAAGATGCTAGTGGTTCTCATGATGCGATTACTTCCAGGAGCGTGGAGGGAGGAAGGGACACTGCTGTCCCGGTCACGGTCACGGTCACGGCGCAGTGCTTCCGGGGCCCAGGGCTTCCTCACGTCCTCCCCACCGGGGCGCGGCACCCTGCCCGAGGCACGGGTTTCTGTCTCACGCCACCTTCCAGCCCACGGGAAGAGGACAATGTAAGCAAAGCCCGTCGGTGCAGGTGTTCCTAGAGCTGACATTCCAAGCCCAACCTCCCAAGACACTTTCGAGGCCCCGGGCAGCCACACTGCGCCCCTCGATGCTGCCGGCTGCCGGCTGCCGTCAGCAGTGCCGGGGGTCGCGTGCTGGCCCTGGAGCGTGTTCCTAGCGGCTGCCGCTCACGCTGCACGTTTTTCTGCACACGGACACGCAACCACGGTTCCATCAAGGCCACCCCAAGACACCGCCCTTTTCCAGAGAGGCTACAAAACAAAGAAACAAGCAAAATTTAACCAAAGACACTGAAATAGAGGACAGGCTGACAGTGTTCAGAGGGGAGAGAGGAGGGAATTTCAGGGGAAAAGGGGAAGGGTTTGCAGGAATGAGTATAAAGGACACATGGACAAAAACTACCGGGGGGGGGGGTGGTGGGTGGAAATGGGAGGGAGGTGGGGAGGGCTGGGTGGGTGGGCTGGGATGGCAGTAAAAGATAGAAAATTGTACTTGAGCAGTAATTAAAATAAAATTATTAAAAAATAAAAGTAAAATAAAATGGGAAGAAACTGTAAATGCTTGCACCCCAAGAGCTGAAACGTGAAGAAATTTGGCCAACCGCGCTAGTTTTGCGTGGGCTGCCTGCAGCGTCGTGGCTGTCGGTCTGAGCGGGTGCGCCTGGGGCTCCACAAAGTGTCACCTCCACCGGCCGGGTTGCTCTGGAGCTGTAAGAGGGGCGCCAGCCCTGGCATCTCTACACCCCCCACAGCAAACCATCCGAGTATTTGTACTGAACACAGACCTCAACTCACCCTGTCCAATAGGACAAAAGCCCCTTTCTCAGCCCTGTCCCCCAGCGCTGGCTGGACCCCATGAGGCATGACTGAGCCCAATTGTTTGATGGGACTGAGGGCCAGGAAGTTACGGGGGGTGCCCTGAGGGTGCGGAGGTCCGGGAACCTTCCCAACAGGGCACACCAGGCCCATCCCCTCCCCGGCCCCTCCGGACACTGCACCCGAAGATGACATCAAAACAGGCCTCAGCCCGACCGGCCCAGCCTGCTCCCGGACCACCCGGCCACCAGGGAAAAGCTGACATCCCCCACCCCTCGGGGCTGGTGCGGGCGCCCATCTCCACACCCAGCCCCGACCTTGGGAGAGGGAGATAAAACGGCTCTTCCCGAACTCTCTCACAGCCCCGGTGACCGGCCCCTCTGAACACAGATTTATTTGAGGTGCTTGCTTCTCAGAGAGTATCAGTAAATCTCGGATGAAGACTCTCTTCTTTCCTGAGAAAATAAATATTGCCTTCTTCTTTCCAGTTCGCAGGCTCATTTTGGAGACGAGGGTCAGACTCTCCGAGGCTGTAAACAGGGTCCAGCGCGCAGCCCTGAAGGGAACCCTGGGAGTCGGACCAGCGCGGCCAAGGCCCCCGAGTCCCTGGGGAGGCTGACGCTGAGCCCGAGGACATCGGCGGCGCGGTGCTGACAACGGGCAGCGTCTGTAGTGGCCGTTCCATGGGTGCCCTCGTCGTGGGCGCCAGGTCGTCCTCGCCTCACAGGGTGGTCTGGGACGCCTTCTCTGCCCTGCACACTTAGGGAGAAGCCACGTGACATCGGCACTGATTCTTCCTTAAATGCTTCGGAGAACTCACCCGTAAAGTCCCCTGGGCACGGTGTATTCTTTGTGGGGAGACTTTTAACTACAGATTCAAGCACTTTTAGTGCATATTTGGCTATTCAGGTTATCTGTGTCTCCTTGAATGAACGTCATAGTTTCACTCAGGATGAAACGAACTTCATCTTTCCAGGGATTTGTCAATATCATTAAAGACACCTTATCAGCATGTGCATAATCGTCCCTCCCCTTTATCTTTCCTGATTAAAACAGGACTGGCACAGGAGGCTGAAATAGATCGAGGCGGACGACAGAGTCACCTGCTATACGTACACATGGCTAAGTGATCGCCACCGTACGCCCCGTGAACGCCCATCGCCACGATCAGGTGCAGTTCGCTTTCCCGTGATGAGCACTCACTCTTACGAGCTGCTGTCAGCCGCCCCCAGGCACACACCGTTGTCACCTGTAGCCGCCACGCGGCACATAACCTCCCGGAGTTTGTTCACCTGACAACCGGAGGTCCGTGCCTCCTGACCGCCTCCATCCCCGAGGTCCGCCTCATGCCACCTGCACCCCCCTTTTTGGCAACCACCCCGCTGCATCCATGAATTCCTCTTTTCCCTTGTTTGTTTGTTTCTTTGTTGTTTAGGTTCCACATACAAGTGAGGTCCTCAGTATTTGCCCGTCTGACTTTGATTTCACTGATCATCACGCCCTCGGGTTCCCCTGTGTGGGAGCGGATGGCAAGGTTCCCTCGTTTTCGTGGCTGCCTAATACTCCCTCGCACAGGTGCGTGCATCACGAGTGCCCTATCCGTTCACCTGTCAGTGCACGCACGGTCTTCCGGCGTCTTCTCCACCGTAAACGGCCCTGCTGCAAACACAGGGGGCGTCTATCCTTTCAAGTCCGTGGTTCCATTTCCTCTGGACGTGTATCTGGGAGTGAAATTTCTGGGTTGTGTGGCAGTTTTCTTTTTAATTTTAAAAAAGATTTTGTATTTATTTTTAGAGAGGGGGAAGGGAGAGAGAAAGAGAGGGAGAGAAACATCAATGTGTGGTTGCCTCTTTAATGCCTCCCACTGTGGACCTGGTCCGCAACCCAGGCATGTGCTCTGACTGGGAATCGAACCTGCGACCCTTTGGTTCACAAGCTGGCACTCAATCCACTGAGCCACACCAACCAGGGCCTATTTCTAATGTTTTGAGGAAACTCCACAGTGTTTCCCAAAGGATTTACATTCCCGTCAACAGCGCGCAGGGCTGCCTTCTCTCCACTCTCACTGACACCTGTCGGCTCCTGTCCTTCCGATGACAGCCGTTCTGACGGGAATGAGGGCGCGGTGGTGTTGGCTTACGTTCCCCTGGTGGTCAGTGATGTCCAGCAAGTTTCCATCTGTCTGTTGGCCGTCTGTACGTCTCCTTCCCTGTCACCTTTTTACATACCGGTGTGATCGATGGCGATGTCACCTCTTACTCCTGATAGTTCCCATGTGCAACTCCTTTTTTTCCCTGACCAGCCTGACTAGAGTTTTATCAATGTTATTGATATTCTCAAGGAATCCATTTTTTTCATTGACTTTTATCTGTTATTTTGTTTGTTTGTTTGCTTTTTACTTCCTGGATTTTTGCTGGTGTTTTCATTATCTTCTTTCTTCTGCTAACTTTGGGTTTCATTTACTCCTGGTTTCTTAAGGTTAAAGCTTACATCATGGATGATCTTTTTCCCCTAAAATTTGCATCGAGTGCGATAAATTTTTCTCTGTGTACTGTTTAGCTGCACCCCATAAATTTTAACTGTTGTGTTTTACTTTCATTTAGATCCAAATGCTTTTCAATTGTCCTTTTCATTTTCTTCTCTGAACCACGGCTTATTTAAAAGGGTGCTATTTTGTTTTCGAATGTTAAAGACTTGTCCTCATGTCTTTCTATTACCAGTTTCTAATTTAATTCCCTCCTGGTCCTAAAATCTCTACCATATGATTTTAATCTTCTTAACTTCGCTGAAACGTCTATTGTGGCTTAGCGCATGATCTCCCTTGATACAGATTTGTGCACTGGACGCCCGAGTGTGTTATGCTGCTGTCGGTTGGAAGGGGCCCTAAATGCCAATGAAGTCAAGTTGGTCGACGGCGTTGTCCATCCCTATACTCTTCCTAATACTCTGCCTTCTTATTCGATCAATTCTGTGAAAAGTTGGTGTTGAAATTTTAAGCTAGAATTTTGGATTGACCTGTTTCTCCTCACAGTGCTGTGAGTGTCTGCTTCGTGTACCTGGAAGTTCTCTTCTTAAGCACGCTGTTATTGTTATTGAGGGTGGTTGGGTGGCAGCTGTCAACAAAAAGCGGGGGGCTGCCTTAACAAATGCCTAGCGGTGTGAAAGCGGCTTTGAAACTTAGTGTTGGGTAGCGGCTGGAGGAAT